CAACATAATCAAATATGCAGTCAGTTTAAATTGCTATTTTTTACTTTTTTCGTTTAAACCAGAACTAAATAAGGTCCATATATTGCAATTATTTGATATGTTTCTTAAATCTCTTTAGTCCCCCCAATCACCTCTCTTTTTTTTTCCCCTTACAATTTATTTATTGAAGAAAACTGGTCTTTGGTCCTACAGAATTCCCCATAGTCTGTGGTAAGATTTAACATGATACGGTTTTCGGAAGCCAATTCCTGCGAATCAATTCAAAATTTTTTTTTTCCTTAATCTGATTTATTTCGAGAGATATGAAGAGTCAGGATGGTGCCATGGAAGAAAACCCCAGAAACTGGAAGACTTCAATTTCAATTCTATTTCCATGACTTCAGTGATCTCGAAGTCACCCCACCTGGCTGAACCTGTCTCTCTACTCGTAAAAAGTAAACAACTCCTGTCTGACCAGTCTAGAATGGTGGCGGTGAGAACCAACCGGGACCGTTACGTGGAAGGTTTGCCGAAGGGCGGCAGGTTAGTCAGTCTGCTTTACTGTGCTTCATAGACAAAGCATTAGAAAGTCTGAATAAAAAAAATCAACACTTGAAAAAGTAAGAGCCAATATGTAACTGTTACTCCTTCATGGATTTGTACCTGTTGGGGCACATGCAACTCCCTAGAAAAGGAGTTAAAAATCATCATGGGAAAAAGAGACCCAAGACTTTATTGTTGAAAAGAACCATTAAGATCATCAAGTTCAGGCTCCAGATTTATAGAAAAGAAAAATGTCTTCCCACATTTGGTTAATGGAAAAGTGAGTCCACATTACTCTAGGATTTACAGGACTTAACAACTATCTAAGCAATGTTTCTCAAACTTGCAAAATCTGCCACGTAATGTGAACTATTGATGTGGGGGGAAAATGTAAAAGAAAGATGAATCGCAATTATTTAATAACAGAAAAGGTTTGTTTGTGAATTAATAACACTTATTTCCTATCAATGATAGGGATGCTATTGTGACAATCTTTTCTCAGGGTATCAGTGGGGAAGAGCATCTCCCCTAGGCATTCAATTCCAAGGGCAAAGGTTAAATGAAAACCATACAAGGGCAAAACGTTTGAGAATCTTAAAACATTCCATATAATTCTATAGAGGATCTTAGTCAGAAATAAGTCCCTTCAAGTGGTTTGCCTCTTTGAACACTTGAACATCTTGGAACTTGAACGCTCTTTTCAAGATTTCAACTCGTTTGTTCATGCCACAGATGGATCTTCTTTCTCTCTGTCGGTTACGTGTACTGCACTCATGTCAAAGCCACAAGCACACTAGTTTTGTTTCTTGTTGTTCTCACTGTAAAGCAACTATCTTCTAGCACATAAATTGCATTTCCACACTGTATGCTTTGGGTATTATGCAAAACCAGTAAGTGGAATTAATGAAGGCATGTCTGCTCCCAGCATAATAACCATCATTAACTTTGCAGCCGGTTTTCGTATCTTCTTGGCAATCATGCGACTAATGCACGTGGTGCCTCTTGAGTGACACCTCTATGGGTTTGGTCTTTTCTCTGTTTTTAGGGATCAAATCTATCAATTATGAATTGGAAGTTATTTTGTACTTTTTCTGGAAATATTTGTGTTACCCAAGAAGGCACCCTGCTTTGTCTGAAAATGATAGTACAACCTAATGGCTTTATATTATTATTTGAAAAGTTTCAAAAAAGTACGACACATGGGAGACTTATGGAGAATGGCTCAGGAATCAAAAAAAATTCAAGTGTTTTTATATACATTTGTTGAAAGAAGTCATTAAAAAAAAGTGACTGCAAGTTTACTGGAGAACTGGACCCAGGCAATCAGAGGCTCCTCACTCCATTCTGTGCTTGGAACGTACACTTTCCGGTCCTGCCACGGGAACTGTTGTCAAGGACGCAGCCTAGAGAGACTTTCAAGAGCTGAGAGGCCATCTGGGCGGTGCATGTGGCTGAACCCAGTGAAAGCCTCTATACAAAGATTCGGTGGGCAGAGACAGAGATGGACTGGTCCTGCAGCCCAAGATGAGCCTCATGAGGAAGCTGCCTGGCTGGTGAACACTTACCCCTGCTCGTGGGGGTGGCCTGCCTCTTCCTTCAGTCCCTCCTTGGTCTCCATAGACAGGGGCCAATTTACAAACCAACATCCTTGTATCTATTAATTGGCCCTTTTCTGTTTCTGTTGCTTGTCCAGAAAAGAAATTTCTTCATGGAATCACCCTATCCCAGTCCAGGGAGACCCACACTCTGTATTTGCCCTGGAATCCTGTTCACCCTACAAGTGTGATGTCACTCTGAAATACAATATTTACTATTTTCATCTCTTATGTTTTAATGAACCACTTTCGAATGACTGATCCTTCTGTCTGTAAACTGGGGATATAATGTAAAAAACAGATAATAAGAATTGTAAATTATAAACATACATGATACATAAGCAACAACATAAAAGACCATAGCCGGGACAGATTGTCACGCTATTAACCAACTATTAGCCTAGACAAATGTTTCTTATGCACCTTCTTGTAGCACGTGGGCAACCTTGAAGAGCACAATGGTTATGAAGAATATCAGAAGCAGTATGGTGACTAATTAAGAGCATCATCTCTGAAGCCAGATGGCCTGATTCCAAAACCAGTCTCTACCACTTACTGGCTGTTGACCTTGGGCAGCAAGTTAAACCCCCAACTAAGTCTCAGTTTCTCCTCATAAAATGAGGATAAGTACCAGATCGTATGGGGACGTAATTAATTAACATATGTTTCAGAGTGGTGCTTGACACAGAAAGTCCTGAAAAATGTTGTCTTTATATCTAGAATGGAGTGTCTGGGAAAACGGTAATTCATTTTACGTTTCAAACTTGTGAAATGAACCTAAGCAACGACACCTGTGGTTCGAGATTCACCAACCACTGGTGGTCCAGGATCCCCACTGTAACACATACGGTCACTTACCACTTGGGGCACAGGTTGACAAAGTGATGGACGACTTCTGTTTGAATAATGGATTGCTAATGACACACTGAACTTCCTGTGAAAGATCGCTGTCCTTCAGAACATACATATCAGATGGGTAGAAGCTGGGGTCACTTGGACACAGCATGGTGGGAGGACACTCCCATGAGTACTGCAGGAGGTCTGCGTGCCTGCTGGGAGGCTCCAATATCATGCACTGGAGCGTAATATTTCCATCGTTCAACATGCAGTTTACTGTCGGTAATGGAGGAGACTCTGAAAAACGAAAGTAATTCTTTTTAATTTTTTTTTAATGGAGAAGAATAGTATTTGAACTCTTTCTGTACAAATTCATGAAGACCTCCAACTTCCTCATGAGCTTGAAAAGACCACCTCTTGGAACACCAAGGGGAGAGAATTCTCTCCTCTTCTGGGTCAGATCTGTCTGCTCAAATTCAATGCAGACACAGGCCCCCAACCCCTTATCCTCAATCCCGAAATCCACTAAGTTCTGAAAGCCGAAAGATTTTTTTCACAAAGATTTATTATCATGTTTTACTAAGTATGTTCACATGCAGGAGTATAGGGTGCCCCCTATAAATAAGTGGAGTGCTTCTGAACACACACAGAAGAAATAGTTTATACTACCTTCCTCAAATCTGAAAAACACTGAATTCCAAAAGGCCCCTGATTTTGCAAAAGGTACTGTGGAGCTGTACTG